TATTCCTTGCAACTTGTTGTTGGTTACCCCAAAAATCCTGTCGACTGTACCAATTTGTAAAGGGTGTTTTTATGAGGCAGTTGTTTGGGTTGGTCTTAACATGAGTTACAAATAAAATTTATTTAATTACAGTTTATGCAGTTGTGGGTTTGCTCACAGACCATCAACTCAAGGAGATTTATGTTTGGAATAAAGAATTCACTCAGAGACAAAGTAACACAACACAAGGCAAGTTTAATGCAGTATATTCAAATACTCATCTACATTAAATTCTCCAAAATTTTCTTGGAACAAACTCGCATCACACGTACTAAATTCATTATTCTGGACAATAATATGCTCATTAATAAGTCTTTCCACAATACTCATCAACATTTAAACTCCAACAAGTAAATTTCCAATTAAATTAACCTTAGATATACCTTCAGTCTACACTATATATATTTCCAATAGCAATTCCTCCAACATGTTTCTTAGCATTTAAGTTACATCTTCTATCAGCTTAGTTAAATCTTCAGTTAAATAAATTTCTATTGCTTCTAATTCTTTGGACATTATACATTGTTAAGTAAGTACCTTGTTAGACTAGATGAAAGATAGCAAAAGTGACTTACAAGGAGTTTGTGTGACATATTTTCAATGTTCTGTAGAATTGCCATAGTTAAAAGCTGCATCTTCTGCATGGACTTGTGGCAACTGGAGATTGGAGTTTCAACTGACTGGTTGTTTGAAATCACAACTTTTTGTACACATAAATTGGGAAAATATGACTTTTCTATAAATTCCTTGCAAAAGTATGTGCATGTGATTCTTCTCTTCTGATTAATATACAAGTTGTCTTCTGTTATAATGAAAACAATGATTAGCTCTTCCTCTAATCAATGGATTTATTTCTTGTCCGCATAGGTAGCAGACCAATTAACTTCCCAAAGCATATGAATACAAGCCATTAAGTGTCTAACTTATACGTACTTTTCCCATATATTCCTCCACTTAATGCTTCCCGTTAATAGTTCTGTTACTCGGTTTTTAGTGAGCTGCTACTTCTAGCCATGGTATGTGATATCATAAACATTTATATAAAAGTATTATAAACATTTATATAAAAGTAAAACATTTATAGTATTATAAACATTTATATAAAAGTATTATAAACATTTATATAAAAGTATTATAAACATTTATATAAAAGTATTATAAACATTTATTGCTTTCTCTAATGGAATTGCATCTGTTCAGTGCTGATATGAGGAACTACTAGTTTCCAGTTATTATGTTACAGTCTGAAATGTATTTCCAATTAACTAGTGCACTTTATTTTGAGTTTTTCATAACCTTATTTGAAACTTTTGTTGACTTGTTAGCATTAGACGTTTTTCGTGGCCTTATTTTATCATATAATTTCCCTCTAAGTTTCTATTGTATATATTTCCCTTTCATATGTTTCTACATCTTTACTGAAATTTTCTTCTGCAAAACTTCCAACATTTGCAATTTAGCAATTACTTCAATCCTGTTACATAGTAGTCAGGACTGTTAGTTGATCCTGTCACATAGTAGTTAGTACTGTAAGTTTATCTTGTCACATTGTAGTCAGTACTGTTAGTTGATCCTGTCACATAGTAGTTAGTACTGTAAGTTTATCTTGTCACATTGTAGTCAGTACTGTTAGTTGATCCTGTCACATCGTAGTTAATACTGTAAGTTTATCCTGTCACATCGTAGTCAGTACTGTTAGTTGATCCTGTCACATAGTAGTTAGTACTGTTATTTGATCCTGTCACATAGTAGTCGGTACTATTAGTTGATCCTGTCACATAGTAGTTAGTACTGTAAGTTTATCCTGTCACATCGTAGTCAGTACTGTTAGTTGATCCTGTCACAAAGTAGTCAGTACTGTTAGTTAATCCTGTCACATAGTAGTCAGTACTGTTCATTGATCCTGTTATATAGCACTCAGTACTGTTAGTTGAACCTGTCACATAGTAGTCAGAACTGTTTGTTGATCCTGTTATATAGCACTCAGTACTGTTAGTTGAACCTGTCACATAGTAGTTAGTACTGTTATTTGATCCTGTCACATAGTAGTGTACTGTTAGTTGATCCTGTCACATAGTAGTCAGTACTGTTAGTTGATCCTGTCACATAGTAGTCAGTACTGTTATTTGATTCTTTTACCTAGTAGTCTGTTGATACTGTCACTGATACTCAGAGTGGTGATTATTGAGTCATAATGAGCTGATAGGTGTCATTGGTTTAGCACATGACAAATGTATAGCCTTACTATATGTTGTGTTATTTGCACACAGATTGAATTAGGTTTAATGATTTTTTTCTTTACTAATTTAAAAATTAAAATTGCCAAGTCAATCTGTAGTAGTGAGAACCAGTAAGATGTGCTATCAGGCACATGAGGCAGATTTCAGTGTCAAAGGTTAATGATTCTTATCAGGGAGCCTTTATAAGGTTTGTGTTTCATATCAGGAAACCTTTATAAGGTTTTTGTTTCATATCAGGAAGTCTTTAGAAGGTTAATGATTCCTTTCACCTTCACCCCTAGACCCAAAACGTTGGCACCCTATCTACAATTCCTCCTAACACCTGGCATGCAATGTCCATACAAAGTGGTAATTTTTCCATCCTGATGCCTACAGTAATATACAATGATGTACATATTTAAGTATTACTACATAATCAAGTTTCTCACTAGGGTCCCAGAACTTACAACCTTTTTTCAAAAGTCCCAGTGAGATTTTCAAGGGCCTCACAAGTAGAATTTAATGAACTCAAGAAAATAGAGCATTTCAGCATCAATGAAATTTCTTTTTTACAATGTACACAATATGTTACCCTTCTACAAGTGGAAAAGAACATATTAATGTTCAATGAAAAACTTTATTTATAATTTACACTGCATGTTGGTCCCTTTATGGCTTTTTATCTGTGACAAAGAAGTTAAGTGCACATTTGTGCTCATTGAAAACTTATTTATAATGTACACTGTACTTTAAACCATGTCTAACTAATAGTTGTGCCATATTAATTGCAAATCACATAGGGAATGTGCAGCTCACATTATATCGAATTACATAATGCACAGACTACTTGTGAGTGTGCCTCATAAAAATTATTATTATTAATATTTATTTTACCTTATCTAATGTAAAAAAGTTTTCGGTTTTTACATTTTAGTTACTTTTATAATAATAATAAATAAAGAATACACATGAAAATCAAGAAACAAAGTACTTACATGGGTTGTCTTTTTTTTATTTTTGCTGTCGACTGTAGATAAAACTTAACCCTACTTTTTTCATACTAATGGTACTACTGCATTAAATCATTTTTATTTAATTAAATAATGTACCAAAGAACACAGAATAGTAACATGCAAAAAAGGAAACAATATTCCATAACTATCACAATTTTTCTGGCTAAGCTTGTTGATGTGTTTCCCTTGGGAATAAAGTTTGGACTGGAAGGAAAATAGACAATTCTGTATACAGAAAACAATGTAGTATAATATGTCATTTAATAGAGAAAAACTTTGGCTTTTTATTTCTTAAATGTTAGAGAAATGTATTGGCAAGTTTTGAAAGAGAAGGTGTGACAGATGAGCATGGCAAGAGAGGTCTAATTTTCTATTTTATTGCTCTGTTACTGAATAAAATTGAAGTATATATAAATTATGCTTTGCCTGAGTGATGACAACATTATATTGAGTAATTTACATTAATTTTCGCACTTCTCGGAGGAGTAGTAAAAAAATTAGAGAAGAAGGAATACATAAATAACAAACGTCACAGTTGTCATACCAGGGGAGATTAAAAATTTTTTTAAATATTTCCTTATTAAATTAAGAACTTAAAATTTAAATAATACTAATCTTTGGTTTATTATCTGTGTTGTGATGCTGAGTTTATTCATATAAATTTATAATACAATAGTTTGAATGTAATTCAGTGAAAGGTTGTGATGTGCACTTTGACCTACCAAAGGTTAATCATGTGGTACTTTCACATGGCTTTTTTTGTGCAATTTATTTTCATTGATGAAACCTGTTAGAAGTTGGACAGCTGTGTGCAAAGTGTATACTGTTTATTTTGTTATGGTATAAAGTTCAAAGCAAAGTACTTGTGCTTGCCTTGTGTATATCGTGTGCTGCAGTGCATATTTGGTACCCGGGGAGTCAAATCTCATGCGTATGGAAACCAGGAGTTTGGGTTAACTAGTACCCTGATAATCTCAACTTAATTAGCAAACAAATATTGGATTGTTCATAAAAAATTCAGTGTTAGGCTTATGCTTATGACATACTGAGTACATGATTATTATAGATAATGAGAGCAGACAGATATATATATATATATATTACCAAAAAAATAATTTCCCCTTGATTAATATCTCAAAAGTTTTAGTTGACTTCTCAACAGCTGAGCATTGCCATTGCTTTTTAGGCCTGTGTTTTTATCATGTATACACAAGCTTTGCATATGAATAGTGTTGGTAAATTGTTTCTAGTAATAATGGTGTTATTTATATCCAAATAAGATGATGTATTTGACAATTATAATTTTATAAGGTTGCAAAACATTTTAGAATGAACAATATGCTTTTAAAATTTTACCTGTGGAATATGATAGTAAAGCTTAGTTCATTATTTGAGTCAAAAAGTTTCAATCAAACTATTTGTAAAGGAAAGTCCTTAAAGAACGAAATGAAAATGAGATGAAAAATGAAACTGTAGGGCTTAAATATCTTTTATTTTAAAAAAATTTCCTAGAAATTTTCTGTAACTATTTACTATTTAATTTTTCAGATACATGAGAGATATTATTTACACTTCTTTATGAGTTTAATATCATGCTTTAACAAGCATAATATTGTTTAGCAAATTAAGATAATAAAGCAGTAAAACAATACAATGAACTAAAAATAAGGTATGTTTAAAGGACATGACAAATTGAATGGAAGTAATGCATGTATTAATCCATCACTAGCTCTCCTAGTAAGACAAGCAAATCTTCAGTTGATGTAAGTAGTGATGATTGGGGAAATGATGACTGGGGAACCAAGAACTTGAACTCACCTTCCAAAAGTTCTAAAAAGTGTGCCAGCAAAGACAAGAAGTCCAGCTCTTTCTCCCAACCAAAATCTAAGATGAGAGATGGGAGATCACCACTGCTTTCTCATGGTAGAAAAGAAAAAGGAGAGCAACTATTAATAAATTTTGACGACGAGGCTGTAGGAAGTGATCCTAAAAGCACAGGAAGTAAGAATGCCTGGGATGATGCGTGGGATGATGATGATTGGGAAAGTCTTGATGGCAAGAAGGGCTACCGTAAAGTAGTAAGCAAAAAAGAATAGGGGATGTATATATGTATGTATGTTTTATCAGGAAGAGCTTTTTTAGGTAATTATTATAAACGTCTTGTTTTTTCTGAGCAGATAATGGTACAGCTAGCAGGTAATAATCCTGGTAATTGTGTCTTTGTATTAGTTTCACAATCATTGAAAAGATGTTTCTTTTTGTTAGTGAACATGTTCGTTTGTGATGTGGTAGCAACAAATTCAAGCTAACACTAACTCATTATTACATATATCCATTGCAATTGTTCTCAAAATTAATGTTATTCTTGAACTGTGAATTTAGGAGAATTTTGTTTTCTCCTGTATCCATGTTGATATGATACCTAAAAGAAATTAGTGGTTTCAGGTGATGATTGTGGTATAGTTACTCTTGCATCTTCCCACAAGTCCCTTTCATCAGTTTTTTTTTTTTTGCAGCTTAAGAGGTTAGACAAAGAAAAAATCTTAAGTGATTTCATTATGATGATATAACACATTTTTATACTTGTATTATTTCTTAGTGTATACTAATGGAAGAAAGAGGTATAGCACTGATTGACTAATGTCTTGATTAACCTTGTTCAAAAGTTAATTAAGGGTTTGTTTCCATCATTATAAACAATGGCTAACAATCTTTTATTCTGAAAATTTGAACTGTGTATTGCCCAAAATTGTTTCAAGTTACGTGTGTCACATCAGTTTCTTTTACATAGTGGAAGTCATTAATTACATAGGAACAAAAGTGGCTAAGAAAAATGCTGTAATGTTCTGTCTGAGGGTGACATAGGTTTTACTTTTTCCTTAAAATGCACTCAGTTGAATCTTTTATTCTGAAAATTTGAACTGTGTATTGCCCAAAATTGTTTCAAGTTACGTGTGTCACATCAGTTTCTTTTACATAGTGGAAGTCATTAATTACATAGGAACAAAAGTGGCTAAGAAAAATGCTGTAATGTTCTGTCTGAGGGTGACAGAGGTTTTACTTTTTCCTTAAAATGCACTCAGTTGAATCGGTTATTGGTTAGAGTCATGAAATCCTTTTATCACTGTGTGGTATATTTATTGCTAGTTAATGTTTTGCATCTAACTAAGAAATACATATATTTATTATCTCTATAACTTGAATAGTGTAGGTAGAAAAAAATGCATTGATTTAATTTATCCTTCTCTTAACTGCAATAGTTTTCAAGTGATTATAAAATGCTGTCAATATGAACTGTTTAACACATGTTGCATCTGTTATGTGTGTGTCATTGTTAAGGATGCTATTTAATAATTGAATACCATTTATAAATATAGCTTGTTAATCACATACCAATTTTAAATGAGCTGAGATTTCTTTGGATTAAATATGGATGCCTGTTGTTATTTATCAGTAAGACAACACTGTGTTTCTTAGTCCTGTAGGATCAGTGATGTATGTAATTATTTTTATTCTTGAATTTATTATTTTGGAAGATAATACTGAAACCATTCAGGAAATTGGTTATCAGTCTTGTTATCCATATGATGAATGTTATTTTCACCTGCTTACTTGAGTATACAAAATATTACTAAATATTGTGTAGTTAGTTTGCCTTGAAGAATAAGCATACAATTTGTTTTAGTTTTTACTCAGTAACATTTTAGGCTAAAATATATTCTCTTTGTATTAAATAGGCACAATCAAAATGTTATTTAAACCAATGTATGGTACAAAAACTTCAGTACCAGTTATTTCTTACTTTAAAAAATCAATGAAAATAAAGCTTAGTGTGTGCACTTTTTTGTAGCCGTTTTCTCCTTTTTGAAATGCATGCACATCTGAATTCTTAATGTTTAAATAGGTTTTTCGCTTTGTTTGATCCAAATATTTGTCCTTTCTCAAAGTGAAAGGGACCTAGACATATCTTGTAATGCACGTAACTTCTGCAACAGTCTCAACATTTAGGGTTAAACATACCCTTTACAGAGACACAAGTATTTTAGTAAATGGAAGTTGCAGACTATATCAAGTTTGTGAGAATGTTTGTGCACTAAATGATGACTTACTCTTGAGAGATTAGATGGTAGCATGTTAACATATGTGAAAAGTAATCATTACAATTTGTCAGTGCCAAGTTTTAACATTAACACTAATTTTAAAGTTTAATTTGGTCCAGCAAAATGAATAAAGTAAGCAATTCCTTTGCTAAACATCAACTAACTGAGTTTGGAAGTGTTGAATTAATTCTATCCACAAATGTATGTTTAAAATTTGTAGTGGATAGTTTTACAACAATGTGTTATCAAAAATGTTACTGAAAATTGACAGTGTTTTCAAAGAGTATTTTTTACCATCATACCCATTTCTTTATCTATATTTTGAATTTTTTTCACTAAGGTCCTATGCTTCCAAAGAAATTAATTCAAAAAATTTCAGGAAATTCTTTGATAAAATGCAGTGTAAAAATAACATTTACGAACTACAGAATCAAACTGAATGAAATATTGTACATATGAGCAGATTTTTGTAGAAGTAAGAAACTCCTTTCATAATGGTTGTAAAACGTTGGCAAAAACTACACGAACTGTAATTGCATTAAACACTTAGAATATTTCATGAAAATGAAGCTGAATATAGTCCACTAATGTAAGAAGTGTTGAGTTTCTACTGAGAAACCTCAACAGTCTACCCCTTCTTTCCATACAAATTAGTAAATAGGTCTTTATTTTATGTTTTAATCATTTTATTTTTAAAGAGACATTAGGAAAAAGTCTTGAGAAATTACATTGTCACCTGTGTATTAAGTACTGCTAACAATTAGACATTCATTCTTAATACCATGCTTAAAAGAAATTTCTTATTGGCCTCTCAATACTTAAAAAGAAAACAAGAAAAATTTATACTTGCAGTAGATCAGATATCGATATGAAATTATATACTAATGTTTCAAGCAAGAAATATGTAACAACATTTCTAACCACACCTAAAAAGTTCTCCTTTCACCATGTAATGGCAACCGGCAATCATGTTTTACTTATTTATTTTTATTTTCAATGAAATATTTCTTTCTACTTTATTCAATAAAATATTTACAAACAGTTGCAGGAGAATAATCAGTATGAGATATTGAGGTGATTGAAGTAATTTATTGAAGATAATAAACATGTTATAGCTTCACCTTGTTATTCTTATAAAAGTAATAATGTAGTTACTAGCTTATTTTGAAATATCTGCTCTTTTAATAAATAAAAAAATTGTAGTAGGCCAGCATTATATTTACTTTAGTGAACCCATCATACAAGTTCAAAATAAGTAGAGAAATGTTGTTTCAATTAATCATGGTTAATGTAGTCTGGCAGAATTTTACATTTCAAAAACCACACATTTAATAATACTATATTACCATTACCAGGCACTGAAACATAGAATTGTCTACTAGGCAGAATACTTTGTGATATAAATAATATTAATAAATAACATGTAACAAATAGCCTCAAAATCAACTCAAATAACATCATGTTATATATAAAATATTACAAGGGTAATACTTAGAAAAGTTTATGCTTGCTCTCCCCTCCCCCCAAAAACTTAGGGGCTAAAATTAGGCCTGCAATTGGAGGCTCAGGCAAAGCAAGAAAACAAACAATTGAAAGCAGTAATAGTCAATTTGATGCAAGGGGTGTCTGACTTCTGGTGATGTTCATTTACTTCAGTACATGGTATTACAATAGGAATTATTTTAAATTTCCAGGAAGCATGGGAACCCTCTTGATCAAAATATAGGTTGTATGTTTAAATCTTTTTAATTTGAGACTGTGATAAAACTCATAATTTGCTAAGAGAAAATTGTATATACAATTATAATCACTTTCCCAAGCCTGGGTGTTTTAGCCAACTTGTGTTTATTTTTTAAATGATTTTTTTGGAAAAAGAGGGCCATTCCCACTTTACCTAAGTGAAACCTTGTTAAGTATATTATATTAAGAAATAATGATGCTGCTACATGACTTTGGTGCAACAGCATCAGTTATTTTTCTTTTCATGTTATGTTTTTAATTAGCATAGGTGTCATTGCAGTTCATAAAAATTCCAGTGTTAGTAATGTGAAGATCACTCGTGAACTTGTAATGCCTGATCAGATAAAATAATTCAATGTAAATCTAAAAGTTGAAAAATAATTAATGCTGCCTATTTGTGTTCTCTTTCTGGATGATCTGTATTTATTGTTAAGGTAACCAGCTTATAAACTATTGTTATAGTAACCAATAAAATATTTTGAAGAGGTCATTGTACGAGTAACTGTATTATTTTATAATGTAAAGAAAAAACCAGCTCACTGATCACAGTAGATGTACCAATAGCAGTTAAACAGTAATGTACAGAGTTTAATATTACCAGCTCACTGATCACAGTAGATGTACCAATAGCAGCTACTGTGATCAGTGAGCTGGTAATATTAAACTCTAGTACATTACTGTTTAAATGTACCAATAGCAGTTAAACAGTAATGTACAGAGTTTAATATTTTTCAAATATCTCTCTCCAACTTGTATATTCTAATCTATATAAATATCTTTCATGATCTACTCCTTTATACAGATAAACAAATCTATTAATATTTTATAAATATTCTCTTCCAAAATGCTTTCTAATTGCATTTAATCTGATTACTTACAATAACTTGTGGGTAGTTAGTTTTCTTTAGTGATTCAGCATATACTAGATGATTAATTCATTTTCATAACTATATAAATTTATGTGTAATACAAAACTAACTTATATTGCTTTAAACACTTGGGATTATCTTAACATTATTACACATAGGTTTTTAACTTCCACTGTGATATTGATATTGCATCTTTTTTTTTAACCATTTATCATAGTGGCATGGAAAACAAAATGCATGGATGATGCTCATAGACTTCAGGAAGTATTTTTCCTAACAAAACTGCTGATAACACAAATTAACGAGTATTATATGAAATATTTTTGGCACTGAGTCTATGCAAAAGATATTGAGTTTGTGCTTGTTCAGGAGGTCTAACATTGCTTGCATGAAATATATCATGTTACATTTAATAATTAAACTTTCTTCTGTAATTCCAGACAAATGTTTTCCCAACATGAGAAGCTCCAAACCCATTCCATCAAAACTTGTAAAACAGGTTTTATAGCTAACTTTATTTCTGTCCCTTTGGTTGACTGTTCTCTTGAAATACTTATTGTAATTATTCCATTTTTTACTCTCTTTTTTCAATTATTTAAATTGTTGTTAACTATTAATTCCAGACTTGTTTGTTAATAAAATGTTTTTTGTAAGTAAAAAATATTTGTAATAAAAGATCTGCTGGGTTTAATTGAAGAAAACTAAAGAAATGTACATAGTTAGTTTCTTTGCTTTTTTGACTGTATTTTCCTCTGAAGAATGCAAGCTATACCATGAGACATGTGCTGGACTCATTTGATAAACCAATACAGTCAGATACCCAGCTATGGAAAGCTCAGTTTCACTAGACACAGACTAAACTATTAAAGACTGCTGTAAAAAAAAACTATGGAATTCATCATAGATTCATGTTTAAAATAATTAAAGATAGATTTGTTTAAGTTTTTTGAAGATTACCAAAGCTGAGTATATCACAAATAATTTGTGAAATTATTAAAACACCAACAAGGTTTTGTTAAGTAACACCCTGTTGTACATAAAATCTATGTGGTGGAAATCCTGTTTCTTCCATAATTACTGTTCTCTGTAATGTTACTTCACACTAATAAAATCATTGTTTCAACATCAACTAACTAGCAAGATTAACAATGTATACAAACACGGTGGCAGTGAGTAAGTTGTTCAGACAAGTATGGCACCATGTTAAAAATTTACTGAAGAAATAAGTAATCAGAATGATATAAGGATGGCAAGTTAAACTGTAAAATGCACAGGTTCAAAATGGTTAAGAGGTAAGTGTTTTTGACCAACCTCATAGCAAAAGTCTGTAATAATCAGACATGTTTTGACTCAACTTGGTTTTCCTTGTACGCAAGTCCTAGTCTCTTAGTTACACTACATTGAAGTCTACCCTGATATGACCATGATATTATGATAAAGAAACTGAATATCAACAGTCAGAAGAAATATATCTTCCAACTGCAGTAATATTAAAGTCAAGTATGCATTTTACAGTGGAACATCAAATTTCAATATTGAAATTCATGTATGAATGATATATGTATAGCTGTATCATCACTATATTCTTGTTTGCATTATTTTTGGCACTGTCGTCCCTACATCATTTTACGTTTACAAAACGTTTTTCATACTTGTTTTGTGATGTTTTTCCCTCCGACTGAAAGTTAGCGTACTCTATGAAGGTATGTAATAGTTAATATTATATGTATTGATAATTTTTTACTTCTTCACTTCATACATAATATAGGGGTTAACTTCCTACCTAAATACACCAATTGTATAGTGTACAAAGCATTGAGTATTCTACATGTTACAGTCATGTAATGTTCAACAACTATTATTGATTGGAAATTTCTGTTTCACCCTATACACTGAGTTGTCACAAGCAAATAGACACCTAATTTTTCGTCATTTAACTGATTTATGCTAACTAATTTGTGTTCACA